AGTCGAAAAAGTAAACATTGACACGGACGACGGACGACGACGACGACGACGGACGACGACGGACATCACTCATATGATAAGCTCCGCTCGACAAAGTCGACAGCGGAGCTAAAAAAACTAAGCCAACCAGGATCATGTCATTGACAAATTTGTACAAAACAGATAGTGGATGAACTGATAATTTTGGGTACAATTATTTTATCTGTTATTTTTAAATGTCAATAAAGTCAGTTTTCATATTCTGTATCAAGTTTTGAATCTGATTTCTGAATACGAGTGTCCTTTTAACTCATTGTTTTTATTCTGTGCGAGTTTCAGCTTTTATCCAGTTAAACAATCCATCACTGCTCAATACATGCACATTCAGTGTCCAAAAAAAAATCATTCCACATAATACCCAGCATGCCCGTTATTGAAACTCTGCGTTCTCATTGGTCGATGAGTACTATGTGAAGCTGTGTTTCGGATAACAAGGCAGTGTTTGAGGTCAATGCATGAGCACACGACTAGATTGTGTACGAGTGTGTGCGCGACCCATCAACATTCAATGTTTCCTAATAATGTATGAATCATTTAAACAGCGAGCCCAACCATTATTTGTCTTTTTCATCTGGAAATGTACCAGATTTAAATTTATGTGTTACCAGTACTAGCGTTCAACATAGTTCTTGGTATTATAATTGCAATAAAGGACTCTCGTTATTTTATGATAACGGGGCTCAGACTGGGATGTTCGTTTAATTAAAGGGGCTTGTATATTGCTGCACGCATCCATGTCCTGTTACTTAAAGGGGCATGTCCAGTTAAGCCTAATCTCACAACAAATTTACTTGGATTAAAATTACAATGGATAACAAAAGATAGATTAACTTTGTAAACAACATAAACAATAGTGTCCAATGATTCTTTGGTGCAATCCATGGGATTGAACGGTTCCCCTTTAAACAATAATGAAACCTCATTAAGGAGGGCTATGGCAAGATAATTTGCAAGGCGAGGCTGAACAAATTATCGCATCTACACCCTTTTCTGAATCCAATGCGACACTGGGAGATTCATTATTGGTAAAAAGCAAAATTTAGTTAAATTGGGGGCTTTTTCTGAAATGAATTTACTTGCGAATACAGGTTTACTACACATGTGATATTGTAAAGCTACGATGTCAAAAAAATCTAATTCTGATAGTGTGATACATAACTTGCAATAAAGGAAAGTACATCGTCCTTCATTCTCTAAATATATATACTGGTATAAAAAGGTGCAGAAGTCAACTATGAAACGTTACAAAAATTTCTAATTATGTAAAATCTTTTATTTACCAATTCAGTTCACAAATAAATTAGAAACATGCCTCAGTACTTCACATGACCCCTGAAAGGTCACACATCCTGGGACTTTCAATGAGCTACAACATTAAAATCATGTTTTGATTTACATACCATAGTCTGGTCAGCAAGTATATTAATTTTACTAATTGGTTAGGAAAATAGTTGCGACTTGATCATGGATGGATAGATAAATAAAAAGTGTAGCAAAACACTAGCATTATCTTTAAAATATCCCTAGACACACAAAATACTGTGAACTTAAGTGTGGAAATTCAAAAAGACACCGCCAAGTTTGTCCCATGGAAGTTATCAAATTGCAAAATTATAATGGTTTACAAGAATTTGTGTTATAAATCTAGATATTTATAAATTGAAACAATGTACATGAATATGCTTGTGTAGCAATGTAGGCAGTTTGATATGAAAGTTGGTGGGTGGGTATTTTTAAGAATAAACACCTTTGCTAACTTCAGTGTACCAAATGCAACAGTGTCAAATATTATTCACAAGTGAACATTGAAACCATATTCCTGTTTGGGATGGAATTTGAAAAGAATGTGTTGTGATTTGTGCCCCACGAGTCTCCCTAACTAATGGCATTTATGACAAGGTGGTTGTTTGTTTTGCAACACCCAAAGACGATGCATTTCCACTTGTTTATTATTTCCACTTGATCATAACATCCCTGATTATCGTACATGTACAGGCAACTCCTTTGATGAAAGATCCACTAAACCTGCATATTTCACTGTTACAGAATCAAAAACTCGCTACTTTCTGGCATGCCACAACTATGAATATCATAGTACATATTGTATGCCACATTTATAATGGTTACTTGAACATCAAGAATTCTTCGAAAATTTAGTTAGATTCAAGAAGAGAAGAAAAAGTAAAAGTTCCTTGTGACGGTAAATAAACCATCTTTTGTTATGTGTTTATAAAACAGGCCTTTTGTATTTACTGATACTGTAAAACCATTTATTTTCAGACATTTAATTTGACTATTTTGATGTTTTGAGCCGATTCACAGTGCTTCAATTCCACGAATTTGTCAAGAAATGAGTTTTGTTATTTTGCATGTCCACGTAGATTTAATTTAGCGGATTTTACTTATTAGCGAAAATAGTGAAATTAAAAACCAGTGAATAATAAATGTATTTACAGCACACAGTTTTAACAGCCAGCCAGTTAGCCACACCTCCATAATTCGGCCCGCAGTGTTCCGCAAACGAATAACCATACTGTAAAGTACTTTATTTTCACTTGGAATTTATTTTCGCTGAAGTGATGAATCAGTGAAAATATCTTTTTTCTCATAATTTACATTGATTCCACTCATGAAAAATCACTGAAAATAAAATTAATACAAAACAGCCAAAATATCTTTTCTATGAAACTTAATTCCAGCTAAAAACGAAGTATTTTACAATATTTTTTAATTGTTGTTCAGAAATGCATAAAAATATACTTCTTGTCTTATTCTTGTCCCCAAGAAAGGAACAAACCCATGTAGAACTTTACAAAAAGATTTCAAGTCAAAAATTAGCTTCATGATAAAATACATACACTAATATTGTTAAGTATACTGTTTCGCAGTAGCGATCACTCACGAGTAGGGATGTGCAGTGAAGATAACAAACTTAAGGACCATCAAGTTTGTTATACACTGTTATCTACAGTAAAGCAACACATCTGAATTATACACACCCACTGTGTGTGTGTTTTTCACTTGATGCACAAATATGAACGCTATAATGTCCTTTGTTGTGTTCCTCTGATTGAGTTTTGTCAATTGCATATATACAACTTCAATTGGAATCAGCATTTTCCATGTTTCTGAACATTAATTTGAGCAAACTAATGAAAGATTTAAAAAACTGACTGTGTCAATGTTTTTAGGAGACTAAAAGATGATGTACTGTACTGGTAGAGTATGATGAGAAATACCATGGAACTATAAACCACAGAAATACCAATGTTCAAACTTGTTTTGCCACAGCAACACCCCTAATTTGAGTAAGAGACGTTCGTATTTCACGGGTCGTTTACATGTTTATTGGATTTGCTTAAAATATCATTATTGGATCCCGAAGAACTGATGCTGTAGAGAAGGTAAACAAAAAGGCAAACCGCCAGCACAGTACCGATTTCACCAACCATCATCCGGCTTTCATTTGAATCTTCTTTATGATTAATTTCCTTGACAATCTTGCGGAGATTACGCAACCGCTGTTCCCGTGCCAACTGATTGCCATAAGTGAGTCGATAGAACTCATCAAAATCATACACCTTATCTCCTTGAGCATTGTACATTTGCCCAGTGTATACACCACTTCGCTTCTTCATCACTGACTCTTCTGGCTCCGGCTTGAAATCACCACGAAAATCTCTCGGTCCAAGTATACCTTTATCATAGCGTTTCCGCAGCGTGAAATTACCAAGCACGTTGTACGCTTCGGTTATCTCTGCAAATTTGCCTGCCTCGTCAACTCCGTCATTAACATCAGGATGGTAGACTTTCGACAGTGCATAGAAAGCGGTCTTGATTTGACCTTGGGTACATTTCGGCGATATTCCCAAGACATCGTAATAATTACGTTTTCCGTAAGTTCTTGCATATTGATTCAAAATGGAACTAGTCCGGTATGTTCTGATAAGTGTTATAACACTGCTTGGGGAAATACGCAGGCTAAACATAATAATTCAAAGTCTTGTCACGCGAAAGATGTGTATCCAAGATCATTCAGTCGTTGACACTTGCAAGAAAGGTCACCCGGCACGGTACCTGTTTTATGGAACAGCAAGCGGATGATTCGTTTAGTTTTAACCCGTGTCGCCACTTCCGACGAAAGCTAACAGCATTACTTTACATTAACCATCATAAATTAATATCTACATCAAGAGGGAGAGGTATAAATAGATGCTGGATTCAACCGGACACAGCTGTCCCAACAACGCCAACTAGAGGGTCACGTAGCTAAAGAACGAATAGATTGGTGGTTATAATTTTACTCCAGTAAATAATAGACTATTCCAATATAGAAGAGGGGGAACAAAACAAAGATAATATCATGCTTACATCTGTATAAACAAAATCATTTACGACTATGTCTGCTGTGATATAAAACAACTATATCATTCATGTTTATGTGCAATTGGTCGTTTATAAGTTGTAAACAGTGACACGCGAAGAAAGGTGTTTTTCCGCTCGGACTCCCCTGTACTATATAATTTGAAGATCAAAATGGCTTCCGGTAAGAGGCCCGAACACCAAGCTCCTCCAGAAATTGTAAGTTTTAATTGATTTATAATCGTATATTGTGGATTATTTAACATTTACTTTTTGATAGTTTAATTCTTGTTTTTTCTTCTGAATTTTGTAGTTCTACGATGAAGTTGAAGCCAGAAAATACACGTCGAAGTGAGTATTAACGTCAACAGCTGATGAAAACAGTAAACACGTGCCTTGTTGTATTAGTACACAACTCCTCCCGTCAGAGGGGAAATTTAAACTTCTCTTGTGATAAGTACTAGTATTTAGTGTACACTTACTCCGATAATATTGAATTATGGGCAGTGAATGGCCGGGGTGCTAAGCCATCAATGAACTGAAATTATGAAAACAAAAATCCTGTAAATGAAGAAACATTGAATAGGCTGTTTCCATCTGTATTGAGCCTATACCAGTAGACCTTTAAAAAAGTATGAGGTTTATGATTTGTAAGGTCATCAAATTCATCAAGGATTGGACTTTGCTGAAAATTGTGAAAATTTTCAATTTAATCAGGGAAAATACAATGCTGTAATGTGTCTATTTTTAAAATTTATAAACATTGGTTTGAATTGTTATCAGTAATATGGTTATAGCAATAGTGTGTGCTTGATGTGTGTGTTGTCGATTTTGACGACAAGTGTCTGGATTGTAATTATAAAAAATGAATCGCGTTGTACACAACAGATTTATTTACACATCTACAATGCTACAAACTGTTAACTATGCAATGTTCATAAATTTACTAACCCAACAAACCCATTTCTTTCATTTTATAAATTTCATTTCTTCGTTGATTGGCTGGTTTGATTCAACTGCCATTGAAATGTGTCAATATTCATAAAAAAGAAAGGAATGGGTTTGTTGTGTTGATAGTAATAAAGTTAGAAATCAAATATAGAATTGCATGTGAACACTGAAGACAACATTTTTGTTAAAAATTCTGCTGTAATTACTGCATCATCTTCTGAATGAATCCAAAACATTACCAGCACTTCGAAAATTTCACTGTATTTTTCCCACAGTTCCCGTATGATTGAAATTCAAGAACAGATGTCTGAAAGAGCCATCGAGTTATTGGCTTTACCTGAAGACACTCCCTGTCTTATACTGGATTTGGGGTCAGTGGATGTACTAATAATAATACTAGTAATATGAGGTTATTACGAG